CTGCTTTTAGATATTTACTGGGAGCTAGCTACACGTAAACAGAATAACAGTGAGTTTTGGCGCTGCACTCGTCACGTGGTAAGAATTGTTTATTTAAACGAGTCTGGAGATCAAGCAGGTCTCCCCCCCCCCCCCGCCTTTTCACTCTTACAAAAGCGCATGAAATAAGTGGCAAAGTTTTTGTACTCCGATTCCACGAATGGATCGTAATCGACGTAAACAATACTCGTTCATTGTAGAGTAGAAAATTTAGATTGTTGACAATTTTCGGTTGTTAAAAAGAATAATCATTTTATAATTTTTTTTTTTAAATTAAAAAGAAAGTTGAAGACTATGTCTAAAGATAATCAGCTGTTGAAGGTAATGGGCTATTACAGCATAATCGGCTATTAAAAAATGTAATCGATCACTGATGATCGGATGATCACGGCAACGGATTGAAAAAGAAAAAAAAAATCGGTTCGATTCCGTTGATAAGGGCTGAAGTGACATCAACTGTGTCCAGTTGAAAACGAACATCCCCCAAGCATCGATTACTTCAGTAAAACATTTGCCTTTTAGTATTAGGCATATAATGCTTCTTGTTGCTGTGATGCGATTACTATTTGGCTGAGAATGCATGCCCTGAGGGCGCTGAGGTTGCATTGGGAAACGTGTTTCTTTCAGACATTTCCCCGGGGGGAGGGGCATTTCAGATTTTCGGGGGGGGGGCAGTGCCAGTGGCCAGTGGTCAGAGGCATAGCTAAGAGATTGCAGATGGAGCATACTTCCCAGGGGCGCCCGACTAGCGAGGGCACCAAAGTTGGCTTTGATGTTATTTGATGATTGAAAATAATTAGTTTCAGAGTGGAAGGGGGGAGGCGTAACAATGAATCATGTACCCTGACGCAAAACAGTCTAGCTGCGCCCCTTCCTGTGGTGGAGAAAGGGGAAGTATGATGTTTTTCACCCAGATGTCCTTTTTCTTTACAGGAAAGTGCTGCATTTTAGGACAACTGTACAGTTTGTATCGTGAAAGAAAGAGGGGCAAATATATTTGGCCCCCATGGTGGCACAAACAGTAGCTACGCCACTAGGCAGTATATCTCTCGTCACCCAAATTATCGATCTTTTCCATCGGGGTATAGGGTAAAAATCGAGGGCGCCGGTGAATCTTGATTTTATTTATATAAGACAAATATCAGAATGTTAAACTCAGCCAACCAAGAGCATAGCTCTGTGGTAGGAAATGTACTGGAAGAAGTGGAGGCCTTCACACACTTAGGCTGTACCATTGACTTAAATGTTGGATCCTAAGCGAAAGTCAGGGCTAGAATTGGAAGGCCTAGGTCAGCGTTTGTGCTATTTAAGAAAATATGGGAGTCAGTCAATGGAGCTGGCTGGCTCTCCAAACCAAAGTCAGAATTTTTAACACCAATATCATAACAGTCCTACTATATGGAGCTGAAACTTGGAGAACAACAGCGAGCATTGCGTATAAAGTACAGACCTTCATAAACACTTGCCTTAGAAAGATCCAGAAGATCAAATGGCCAAACATAACATGAGCCTGGTGGTGAAGACATCCTAAGGTAAAAAATGGATATGGACAGGACACACTCAACTCAAACCCCAGATAGCATCATTAAACCCTAACATGAAATCCACAGGGAAAAAGAAAGAAAGGAAGCCTTAAAAATACATAGAGACGCGAGCTATAGGCAGACACTCAAATTATGGCATACACAAGAAAGCAACTGGAAAGGAACGCAAAGGACAGAGATGGATAGAAAATTCTTGTAGATGCTCTATGCCCAAGATGGAGTAAAAGGCAAAAGTAAGTAAGTAAGTAAGAAGAGCCTTGTCCTCAGAATTTTTTGTATTATTTCAAAATGAAGAGGTGTATTTTAGAGTATATTTGAATTCAATGTTTCTATTAGACTTTTTGATCAGGGAAGGACATTTTATAGGATCTGGGGAGCCATTATGATGCCAGTGTCATACGTAAACTGAATTCACTTTAATTGTGGCGTGCCCCAGGGAAATAATTTGGCACAACTTATATTCAACCCCATTGTGTAAAATTGATCAGCGTGAGGGAAGGGTGCAGAAATTGAGGGTGCTGAAAACAGTCGCGCAAATTCAAAAAGCAGAAGTGCATTTTGGCACATACTTAAATTCAGTGTTTTTTTCAGACAATTTTATGGTAAAATTTCAAATTTTCGGGCTGGAAGCTCTAAAATTAGCCATAATAATGACCAAAGACATCTTCAACGCTGCACCAGGGGAACATGAACTAAATTTATTCCAGTTGTGAGTTGAGGTCATGCATTTTCCCTAACCTAACATCGCCTATTAAACATTTTAGTCCCCTGAATTTTTTTTGATAAATTCAAAATACAAGAATCCATTTTAGCAAATACTTTAATTTAGCTTTGCAGCATTCTAAACTTGGAGAGCAGCGGAAGAGATGCCAGATTAAAAAAAAAAAATAGAGGTGCCATCAACCTTAGAAACATCGAGTAAGCCCAGCAACTCCTACGACTGCAGTGGGCCTCGGATGGTTTAGGAGATTAAAGATGTGATGTGGATATTCTCTCACTTATCATATCTTTATGCAGTGTGGGGGGGGGGGGACTAAACCAAAAAGTGGCAAAGGGGCCTTGAAAGTCAAGGTGGCTCTGCTTGACCTGCTTGTGTTATGCAAAAAAAATAAATAATTGAATTTCTAAATAGTAATGGGGCTTTAATTTTTTAATTTACGCCATTTGGGGGCTTAACTACATACTAAATGTTACTAAATGCATTTTCAGAAGAAATAACAGGTCTATATCACAAAAAAGCACTACTAAAATCATTTTATGTGTTGAACGCAAACGAAAAAAGAAAAACTTAAAATAATCAACTTACATGTAATAATAACCTTTGCTAAATATTTTTAAGTTTTACCAGAGTCAAATAGAAAAAAAAACAACTGTTAAGTAGAAAGGTCTATACATTTTGATCTGTTATTAAAACTGGTCATTCTTATCAATCGTATATGAACGCCATTATTATCTAAAGAATACATGAGTTGTTTACAACATAAAGTATACATTTCCCAATGTTCAGTTGATTGAAATTTTTATTTGGAATTTCAAACTATTATAATGTTTTTTTTCCAGATAAATTAAAAATTGCCACTGAGATATACTTTAAAACGTTTTATTCCCAGGTCAACAGAATTTATTTTCAATCGACGAATCAGGAATGGGTATTTTGCCTAAAACAATACCAAAAACATGATATTTGCATGATAATCCAAATGCTAGTTAACAAAAATCTTCTTTTTTAAAAATATTTTTTTAAATTTAAGCTTTGGGATTAGACACCTAGAGAAAATGTAATTTTTTGGAAATCCATGCAAACAGATGGAACACTTGGTTTGTATTTCTTATATTAAAAAAAAAGACAAAAGGAGTTGGGAATTTAATACATTAAATAAAGGCGAATTATTGTTTGTTTAAACCTTTCTTATTCAGGAAACTTTGTTACAAAAGAAGCCCATTTAAAGAAAACACAAACGTTTTCCATATAATAAATGATGAATCGTGCGCTATTGGTATGTGATCGTTAAATTCTTACTTTAACCAAAAAATATCTTTAAATTTTTGTAAGGTTCCATTTTATATAACTCAACATTCATGGAAAAAGGAGTACTTTTATAATTATGCTCATAAATAGATTTTAAAAGCCTTATATCAGGATACAATTTGTTATTCGCTTAGCACCTATCCCTACCTTAAAAGTATTGCTTTTATGGTAAAATATAATTTGAAAAAAAGTCTTAAAATTTGTTAAGCTGCTAAAAAATTTCATGAATAAAAATGCCGATATGTTCGAGCAATTAGAAGTAAGACTTCGGCTTATATTCAGAAGCGGCTAGTACGATATTTTGAATCGATTACTTTAAGCCTTTAACAAGATTGGCCTTATATGAACAGAGAGACACATCTATAGCACTTAGCGATATTACATTGAATATTACATTGTAATCGGTTAAAGCCAGCAGATGCTTTTCTTTTGAAAACTGGTTAAAAACGACAATCCAATCGTTTTTAATTTTAAAATATATATATACATAATCGTTCTATTGTTGTACACAATTTGCTCCGGTTGGGGGGGGGGGCGCACTTGACTTTCCCCCAGGGGGCGGGGGGCGGGCAGAGAGATGGTTGAAAGAAACCCTGATTGGGACAGCCCAGGACTTAGAGCAAGTCAAATTGTTGCTATCTTAACCATCTCTCGCTAAGTGTGGACTCTTGGTGCTCTAGTTTTTTTGTTTTGTTTTGCTTTTTTAACTGGGTCACGGCGACATCTTGGAATCTGGGAATGAATTTCCGTTTCAAACGAATTTGTCATCACTCATGATCATAATAAAATTAGGACAACACTTTGAACAACACAGTCATTATTTAGACATAATTTCAAAATGGGAAAACAAGAAAGGAAATACAAAAATAATATAAATAACTGCAACATCGATTTAGAAAAACAGTTTATTTCTTCACAGAACGGCTTTATTATTATTATTATTATTATTTTTGCTGTTTGTTCATTAAAAATGGATTTGAATTTGAGTTGTTGTTGATTTTTGGGTGGTAAAAAAATTGACTGTCTATGGACAAGGTCAGACTACTTTGGTTTATGAGATCGGAAATTCTGTGCAAACAATCAGGTTGTGCCGCACAATTAGCTTATTTTTAAACAAACATGATATTGAAACAGACACCTTCAAGTGATACGCTTGCATTACATGAGTCATAAAAGAAAGACTTCAGGCAGACATAATATACAGTTGTGGGCCTACGTGTATTAGGATTTTCTCAATGGTTCCTTCAATGTGTTCAAAAGAGTTCTAAAGCTACACGGAACATGCTCGATGTGTCACCTCAGTGTGAGTCACACGCAGCCATCAACACATCCCAACAGCAATGGTCATGTGAAAGTGTTTTTTTGTTTTCTTTTTTGTTTTTGTTTTTTCTTGTCTATTTCTGAGTGCAATGCTGTCTAAAGTAAAGTTGCAATACACGAGAGGCTGTCAACATAAGCACCACGGCAATGGGACTCCAAGTCACCCTTTTAAATTGGAAACAGTTTCTTTAGTCATAGTCTTGTAGGCAACGTCATCATTGGGAAATGGCGTCGGTGGGACGTCGAGCGCGAGCTCATAATGCTTCCCCCCCCCCCAGTAGACAACAAAAAGTTCGATTAGAGCCCTTGTTAAGAGAGTGATACGCATCAACGCCCTTGTTGGTTTTATAGAGAATGTCGTTTTTAATAACTAGTTTATCCGACCAGTCTTAATATAGAGCAAGTCTCATACAGTTTTTTTTGAAAAAAAGCCATTTAATTCGTTTTTGAAATGTTATAATTTTAAAATTCCGTCAAAACAACTGCATGAAAATATATCCGGAGTCCGTACAGAGAGTGACGCTGTCCGGAGTCCGTACTGAGAGTGACGCTGTCCGGAGTCCGTACTGAGAGTGACGCTGTCCGGAGTTCGTACAGAGAGTGACACTGTCCGGAGTCCATACAGAGAGTGACGCTGTCCGGAGTCCGTACAGAGAGTGACGCTGTCCGGAGTCCGTACAGAGAGTGACGCTGTCCGGAGTCCGTACAGAGAGTGACGCTGTCCGGAGTCCGTACAGAGAGGGACGCTGTCCGGAGTCCGTACAGAGAGTGACGCTGTCCGGAGTCCGTACAGAGCGTGACGCTGTCCGGAGTCCGTACAGAGCGTGACGCTGTCCGGAGTCCGTACAGAGAGTGACGCTGTCCGGAGTCCGTACAGAGAGTGACGCTGTCCGGAGTCCGTACAGAGAGGGACGCTGTCCGGAGTCCGTACAGAGAGTGACGCTGTCCGGAGTCCGTACAGAGCGTGATGCTGTCCGGAGTCCGTACAGAGAGTGACGCTGTCCGGAGTCCGTACAGAGAGTGACGCTGTCCGGAGTCCGTACAGAGAGTGACGCTGTCCGGAGTCCGTACAGAGCGTGACGCTGTCTGGAGTCCGTACAGAGCGTGACGCTGTCCGGATTCCATACAGAGAGTGACGCTGTCCGGAGTCCATACAGAGAGTGACGCAGTCCAGAGTCCGCACAGAGTGTGACGCAGATTTAAGGTAAACATTATGGTAGAAAAGTCACTTGAGGTATCCGTAAACTGAAAAGCGATATTTTGCACACTGAACCAGGAAACCAATTGTGGTGCATGCTTAAGGGCGGGGAGGGAAGTGGTGCTTGCATGCGTGAGAGGTCAAAGTGTTTTTGTACACATTCCGTCAAGGTCGTTTGTGAATCATGGGTCAAGTACAAATTGAACTATTATTGGTTCGAAACTGAATGTCTGTAACGCTAGCATTTTAGAAAAGATGTACAGTTGAAATAAAACAACAACAACTAAAAATATGACAAAAGAACTGATTGTTATATTGAATATCTTTCAGTAATCAATCATAATCATAATAATAATTTAAAAAAAAATCATAATCATACTCATTATTAATTGATTGTTTGTATCAATTTAAATATCCTAACAAGGTGAGCGATTTTTTGTTTATCTTCGCTTCACAAAGATAACAATAATTTGAGGACAAAGTTTCTTCTGAGGTCGCAGAGCTGGTCCTTCAAACGTCACATGAAGCACACCAGCGCGGGACCATCAGAGCTAATGGTGTCCGCCGTGGTGTCCATGATGGTGTCCGTGATGATGGTGGAAGGGGTTGAAGTGGTGATGGTGGGAATGATGGTCGTGATGGTTGGCCATGCCAGCCAGAGCCAGTCCAGCACCGATGCCGAGACCGACACCCAAACCTGGTCCGGGCTGGGGAGAGGAGAAAAAAAAAAACACACACACACACACACTTAGTCAATATAAAATAAGTGTTGTTCTTAGTACGTGGGGATTTGAAACTAGTTTAATGTTAAACTGAAACGGTGTGGTTTTAATATATACGATGAGTGTTAGAGAAATTTGGCAAAATGGAAGAGCATCGCTGATGACACTTCTGGCTGTGGATATGGGGAAACCCGATAGAGGATGCGCGCGGAAAAAGAGCCTCTATGGCAAGAAGAGCAATGAAGGAAGCCAAAGACAAAAAAAAGAAAGTCAGTCAAAGGGGGGGGGGGGCTCTACTGCGAGAGACCCAGCCAAGACTGCCACTCCAGATTCATAAAGAAAAAGAGCCTCTATGGCAAAAAGAGCAATGAAGGAAGCCAAAGACAAAAAAAAGAAAGTCAGTCAAAGGGGGGGGGGGGTCTCTACTGCGAGAGACCCAGCCAAGACTGCCACTCCAGATTCATAAATATACACACTAACCCTTCCATGCCCCTCTATGATAATACATTTTCATACAGAAATCATCATTAAGATAAATATCATTATCATTTTTAAAAAAATAAATAAAGATGAGCGCAAACTAAGTGTAAAAAAAATAATAGTAATAATAAACAAAAATAGAAGACTCACTCTGAACACTGGTGCTGGGGTCTCGTACACAATCGTGGTGGTGGGCGGGGGAGGGACGGGCGTGGGGTTGACGACGTAGGTGACGTTCGGGGGTTGGGGGTAAGGGTATGGGGGTATACCTCTGTTTTCTGGGGGTGGGACGGACCCAGCTGGGTAGGGGTAGCCGTTGTCTGAAACATGAGATGACATTCCTTGTTAAGTTGACCGAACTTAGCAATGAACAAGACACACACATTTCGCTTGAATCTGAACACAAAGACTAGATTTAAACAAAGCAAACCACCAAGACCTCATGACTCGGTTTATAAAAGCTGTAACACGCTTGGCCGATATGCAGGCGCCAGTTCTTGGAGTCGAGCTTAACTTGTATATTTCATTGCATATTTGAAGAAAGATGTTATTGTAAAAACTCAACACATTTTGGATGATGCTACATCCCACCCTCTTCATCACAGATACTTAGGATCGGCCCGTTCGGGACGAATTCTTTTCCGTCAGGGCGAGGACTGAAAGATGTAAAAATTCTTTTGTTCCCCAAAAGAATGTAAGAATTTACCAGCGTGCTTCCCACGAAGTCACACATCTTAATGAGAACTAATAAGTCCCTGATATGGCTAAGAGAACTCACTGAATGGCTGCTAGTGAAAAAATTATTAAAAATGTCTTGTGTTCAAATTGTTTTTTAAAACTGCTGAAAATTTACAATGCAATCAAAAAACGTTTCCATTTGTTTGGATCAATAAAGAATCTTATCGCATATGTTTATGTGTCCATAGCTACCCCGTCGCCTCGTGAAGATGAGGCGATTTATAAATATTTATGTTGCTTTGATTGAAACAAGAGCCTTTCATTGAAGTAGTTTTTTTTTTTGGGGGGGGGGGGGGGGGGGGGGCGATCCCAAGCTTTAAATTCTTACATAAAATAAGAGATGATAAATTGTTATGGGGAAAAAAAATAGATATTTTGACTTGGTGAAAAAATTAGATACTCCAATCCATAGACGGGGCTACGCGAAGTGAAACTGTACCTGATTTGTTTTTAAGGTAGTTAAAAAGGAGCTAGTACAAGATAAAACATATTTATAACGTTATACGAAAAGATCCCGATTTTTTATAAAGTTTATCCGAAATCATATGGGCATCAAGATCCCTCTTTTGAATATGTTCACTGAGTTTAAATGTAAACAATATCACATGTTGTACTTACATGGGTATCCGCTCATGGTAGGCTTCTGTGCTTCAAGTTGTTGAAATTAAAAAATACTTGGTTAAACTAAGGGTCAGCGTTGTTCCTCGTCTCTTATGAATGTTATGATATGACTTCCTTGTAACTTGTATTCAAACGCTTTTATTATCTGGCACTGTGGGAGTTTCCCGTCAGGTGAATCCTTGATTAAATTTAACCCAGTCTTTTTCTGTTTCTTTTTTTTTTTAGTTCCTGCACTGGGTCGGTCCTAAGTAGTTTGAAAAAATGTTTTCTTTCTTGAAGCTGAATTCTAAAAGTAAATAAGGCAAAAAAGGATAAATAAAAAAAAAAAAAATAATTCACTATCCACTACTTTAAGTTAAGCGGCAGATACAGAGGTATATATGCAGGCTGAAACTGTGTTGATAGTCATCTATATTTGGACTCAAGTTGTAAACTGTTATTTTTAGATGAATCACGTGAAGGCTAGAATTAAATGAATGCAATTGTCGTACCGGATATCACAACGATTCAGTTAATCGCATTCTGTTTAATCGAAGGGGACTTACAGTTTGTTAAAAAAAAACAAGTTCAGTTACCTTTTTTTTTTAACATGTGTATTTCATGGCCAGGGTTATTCCCGCCCGGGTCGTGCCAAGATTTATGGCGCCCCTTTCCATGAAAAACTCTGAGGGTGGCTGAAAATGCCGGCACTCCATATCAAGATAAAGTTTCTGACGGGGCGCCCCCCCCCCTCTATTCCAACGCCCCTAGTTGTTACATATACATAAACTTTCACAATTCTGAAGGGTTGTGCTCATGGGCGCCCGCAGGTAGGGGCAAGAGAGGGCACTTGCCCCCCCCCCCTGGATTGATTGGATAAAAAAAATTTGGACAAAAATAGACAAAAAATTAATTAAAGTAAAGAGAAAATAAAGAGAAAGTAACTAAGCTGATGTCCTGTCCATTCGTTCACCATACAAATACGCTACAGTAAATTTAAACTATATTAAAACATTAATAAAAATTCCCCCCCCCCTGGAAAGTTAATTGATTTTTTTTGCCCCCCCCCCAGAAAGTTTTCTGCAGGCGCCCATGGTTGTGCTCTAAAAAACTAATTCTTAATTCCAGTAAGGAAAAAAACACAACACAACTCACTTCCAAAAAAAAATTCCCCCCCCCCTGGAAAGTTAATTGATTTTTTTTGCCCCCCCCCCCAGAAAGTTTTCTGCAGGCGCCCATGGTTGTGCTCTAAAAAACTAATTCTTAATTCCAGTAAGGAAAAAAACACAACACAACTCACTTCCAAAAGCGAACAGATTTGTTTCAAATGCGCCTCGCTACTTGTTAAGTCCATAACATGACTTTCATTATCCAAACCCCACTTCTCCATTAACTTTTCTTTCTACAACCCGGTAGTACCCACATATTTTTTCATGGTCCGCTTAAACGAACCATTCCTTTAAACGCGCGTTAAGCTCTATCCAACGAACATTTTCGTCTTCCAGTTATCGCCGGAGATGACATTAAAACAACAAAAAAAAGAGAGAGAGAAAAAAAAAAAAAAAAAGAAAGACAAAAAAAAAAAAAAAAACAAAAAAAACGCCGATGACTAAGAATGGCGTGCGTTTTATCGATATGAAATCCAGATTGATCCATGCGCACTAACAAATCAGTACACATCTATTTCACTCGTGTACGCATCTGTCGACATCGGAAATCATCATGTTTGGCGCGCAATCTGTCTCCATTGCGTTTATCTTTGTGGAACAATGGGAGAAGAGATTAGATTGGTGTGTAACGTAACGGCGCGTAGCAGCGATGTTAGGCTATAAGATAATCACAAGGATAAGGGGTGCCTTAAACGTACCAAAGTATTTTAAAGTCGATACATTTTCAAATTACAAAATATCATAAATTATAATGAAGTTGTAATTAAATTAAAAATAAACCACATTTAAAAAAAAAAATTAAATTATAATATTTAGAAAAAGCAAACTTAATTGTTAAGCTATTAATCTTATGACTACATGAACACAACCTCCCAAGACTTCTAAACATCGAAGTTTTAAAAAGCGGATATGTACAAAAGAAAAACTGTTTGTGAAAGGTAATAAACCATAGTTTCAACGCCCATCTAGGGGATAATGAATAACAGTGGTGTCTGTGTGTTGTAGGCCCAGGGTGTTTCCGAGTAGAAGGCCTAAAGTGATGCAAGGCTTTAAGCCTTAGGGTGTTGTAGGCCTAGGGTGTTGTAAGACGTGTTTTTTTTTTTTTTTTTAGTAGGCCTGATTTGTTTCAGGGTCGTAAACCAAGGTGTGAAATACCATTGACAATATACATGTTGTTCAGACATTGTACAAACAAAGAATAAAAAAGCAGGGAGGGAAAACCCTTTTAAAGTATACAAAATGGCTACCGGAAGTTTTCAAGTTTTGTAAAGATATTGCGCTATTGCGAACTTTAAAAAAAAAAAAATTATTAAATTGTTTTAACTGATAATTTCGCTGANGTGTTTTTTTTTTTTTTTTAGTAGGCCTGATGTGTTTCAGGGTCGTAAACCAAGGTGTGAAATACCATTGACAATATACATGTTGTTCAGACATTGTACAAACAAAGAATAAAAAAGCAGGGAGTGAAAACCCTTTTAAAGTATACAAAATGGCTACCGGAAGTTTTCAAGTTTTGTAAAGATATTGCGCTATTGCGAACTTTAAAAAAAAAAAAATTATTAAATTGTTTTAACTGATAATTTCGCTGACCGTAATTCTCATTGTCGAGTTCATTTGTTTGATTTTTACATTATTCCAGTTGACCCTCTTAAATTTGTCTACAGGGACCATTTAACGACATGTGTTCTCCTTAAAAAGCAAGTAAATACAAGCGGGCTGAAGATGTAGCCTACCACTTGAGTGAAACTCTACACATCTTGATTCAACTCACATCTGGTGTAGACTCAAAGACTATTGGCCTGAGATTAAGATTGTGCGTGCGTGGTCAGTAAGCCTCACAATAGTCAAAGTCAAGGGAGTTTACAGAACGCCCGAGTCGAGATGTTCTAAACAGAAGCGTCACAAGGGTAGGAGTAACAAGGGTCAGTGTCACTCATTTCGAAAAGCTCATGTGTCCCCCCCATCCCCCCCCCCCTTTTCCCCCTTGTGCACCGAATAATTATTAACCAGAGCATACAGAATCGTATTAGGAATTGCTTGTAAACAAAGCCATCAAGCAACACAATACATGACAGGGAAATTTTTTTTTAAAATTTGAAATTTCTCCTTTTAAACAATGCATCAAAGTTACTTTCGATTTCAACATTAATCTTAAGAGCTAAGACTTAATCTTTCCGGCGTTCAAAGATACAAACCTGCCCAACACTTCGTCAAAATCAGCTTTTTTTTTTGGTACTTTATCGTTTTCATTTGATGATATCGCTAGGTTAAACTAGGTGGATTACAGGTGTTACAAAACTAATCAACACATGTGGCGACTCAAAGAATAAAAGAAAAAAAAACACACCACATTTTATCACATTAACTGGGCAAATATAGATGTATTATTGGTGGACTTTCAAACTCTGTAATTTTTTTTAACTTTTAAGGTCAAAGTTTTTATGTTTCTACTACTGTCTTGAAGGTGATGCCCGAAGGACATGTTGCTGTTCGTCCTCGCTAATCCGCTCGTCCTTTGATCCATTGTCAAGACCACTGAAAATAGACCAGGCTGCCGTAGATGGCCATCAGTACTGTACTCTTCATGCGTGCCATGTTGCACTGGCATTAAACCTGGTTGTGTTATGAGAGCGAATCGAGCGACCTCCATCAGATTTGCAAATTTTCTTTTTTGTGTCACCCCCCGCCCCCCCACCCCCACCCCGGGGAGGGTGTCACGTGTTATTAAGGTCTGCACCCCCCTTGTAATGACGCCACTGGTTCTCAACATGCTAACGGTATGGTGGTGCGGTTTGTTCAGTAAATAAGACTTTTGGTTATCGGGCATCAAGATGTGTCTCGTGAGGCACATTTTTTTTTCTTCAGGATACCGTGGTGGTATGGTTGGATGAACCAAGTCATGTTTACCTCTCGAAGTTTTACAGAGCGTCACCATCGAAGAAGACTCGCGCGAGATTATGAAATCAGTTGCAGAATTGACCAAGGCTTCTTTTACATCACCTCAAGTATCTAATTTTCTTCTTTACCAGGACTTTAACATGAGAGTCGGACCCTTTTTTTAACATGACAGTCGGCTTTAAAATAATATTAATAATAATAATAATAATAATAATAATAGTAATAGTAATAACAATAATAATAATAATAATAATAATAATAATAATAATAATAATAATAATAATACTTTTTCAATGGAATTAACTCTTAAAATGAAATAGAGATTGGAAAATTATTCAGTTCTTCCCCCTTATTCTCTCTGTGTCAAACCTGTAGTTGAAATATATATATATATATATATATATATAAACCAACACAATAAAGCCGAGGAAAAGTTGTACATCTATTTGTCAAGATTTTCCCAGTGGAAAAAAACCAACAACAAACTACTGGCTTAGTTCCATGTCTTGAAACTCAATGGCTGGCTTGCTGACTGGCTGGCTGGCTGACTGACTGGGTAGAAAAATCTTCGGACGCCTAAGGGGCCCACTTCCTGTTAATCTATCGAGCTGAAACTTGGGACATACACTCATTTGCCGATGACAAAACCCTCTTTCAAATTTTCTGCACTAACCCCCCCCCCCTCCCACAACCCCTAACCCCAAAATCCGTTTTTCCTGTTTTTCAAGAGAAAGATAAAATGAAGTTCCCGATAAATGCGCTAAATGAGATTCTTGAGGGAAAATAATCGCCAGTGCGTTTGGTGCGTAATATTTTCTTTTGTTTTTCTGAAATAGTTGGAGACCTTCACCTAAGGTGTAAAAGTGGGTGAGTCGTTAGAATATCAATAGAGTTAAGGTTCGTGAACAAAAATATGTGCGGTTTCGAACCTGGGGGGGGGGGGGGG